ATTGAACAAACGTCAGAGATGACATTCCTAGTTAGATGGAACTGCGAGCGAAGAAACAATTTAGGGGCCTTTACTTTGCTTGTTTTATAGCTCCTGACCACATCCTAAAATATATTTGTGAGGTGCCACGGCTGATACATATATATATATATATATATATATATATATATATATATATATATATATATATATATATATATATATATATATATATATATATATATATATATATATATATACATATGTTCCTCTTTATCTTAATTATCTATCAGCGATGAATATACAAATCAATTAAGATACATTAAAGTGTATACGTACAAATACGTACAGACAACGAATGATAATAATCCTTGCCAACAAGTGGATCACCCCCCCCCCCCCCGGTAGGACGGGAGGCTCGCTCACCATCACCTAATTACTTAAACTGCAATGTTGAAATAGTTTTACAAGGTCCCTCTGGGTTTCGACGCCATCAACCGGGCACCGGGAAAATCAAATAACCATTGATCTGCTACACCATTACGACATTTACTAGGCGCAAAAATTTTAAATTCCTCTGTTGATTATTCGATACTGAATTTTAAAATGTGGACAGATTCCACTGTACCCACAGTATCCAGTGCGTTTGCTTTATTTAATGTTTATGTACATACATAAATATGTATTATATGTATATTTATATTTATACATAGATATATAAGTATATATATATATATATATATATATATATATATATATATATATATATATATATATACATATATATATACATATATGTGTGTGTACGTATATACATATAAATGAATTTATATTTATATATATGTGTGTGTATGTGTATGGTATATATATATATATATATATATATATATATATATATATATATATATATATATATATATATGTGTGTGTGTGTGTGTGTGTGTGTGTGTGTGTGTGTGCGTGTGTACGAGTATACATACATGCACACACACACACACACACACACACACACACACACACACATATGTATATGTATATATATATATATATATATATATATATATATATATATATATATATATATATATATATATATATGTGTGTGTGTGTGTATATGTATATGTATATGTATATGTATATGTATAGGTATATGTATATGTATATATACTTATATATATAAACATATGTATGTATGTATACATACATATATAAATATATACATGTGTTTATACATATACATATACTTATATACGTATATATATATATGTACATATATATATATAATATATATATATATATATATATATATATATATATATATATATATATATATATATATATCTGTATACACATATATGTGTATATATACTTTTATGTATGTATACGTATATATATGTATATTTATACATATATGTGTGTATGTGTGTGTGTGTGTATGTATGTGTGTGTGTATGTATGCATGTGTGTGTTTGTATGTGTGTGTGTGTGTGTAAGTTAGAGAGAGAGAGATTATGTTTGTGTCCCTATATATATATATATATATATATATATATATATATATATATATATATATATATATATATATATATAATCACTATGATTATACGAAGACGGCATGGTGAGCCAGCACTAAGATCATTCAGAGAATATGAGAAATGTTTGCATAAATATGAAAAGGCTAGGCTAGACTTGGATTTTCTGCAAGCATGTCTAAATAATAAGCTGTGCCCTAATTTCTTACGCATTAAACTATGGAGAAGCCTACAAAGACTTTCAGTTGAAGCTACTTAACTTAGAAATAAATCCAAAACCAAACAGATATCAGCCTACAAAGTTAAAGTAGAGAGATTGCTTGATGCCCTCAGAAATTCTATTTCTTGGCTGGATTTCTGCCATCTCCAACATTACGCCCAGAATACCTGTGCCAGAACTCTTGACAAAATTAGAAAGACTCATGAAAGGAAATTGTTTAACTTAGGCCTGGACAAGAGATATGATCCCCTTGATCCTGATAAAATGGTGTTTAATTACTCAAACATATCTTTGCCTAACAAATTAAAATTCCTACTAGCTAAAGGTTTGAAATACGCACTGCCTCCCTCAAATATAAACTTAGAAAAGCTTCTCAGAGCTTTAAGCAAACACAGTACCAATAAAGCACCAGAATCTTTGCACTATGTAAAATCATCTCTAAAAACCTTTTTCATCCTATTACTCATGTAGCCAACCGAATTTCACATCAAGCATAACCAAGGATGACTTACTGTTGTTAAATGACCTGAGTAAGAATAATTGTGATTGTAACCAGACCTGATAAGGGACAAGGAGTGGTTATCTTAAATAAGAGTGAATACATTGAAAAGATGGAAAGCATTCTAAGAGATAAAACAAAATTCATTCAAATTGAAGATGACTGCACCTCTCTCATTATCAAAAGAAAAGATCAGCTCAATAACATGTTAAGAATACTCAAAGATAGTGAGTCAGTTGATAAAGATACATATTCACGTCTGTTCACTTCTGGATCAAAACCAGGCGTCCTGTATGGGCTTCCAAAAGTTCATAAAACAAGTTGCCCTCTTAGACCAATACTTTTAGCTATTGGCACTTTAAACTATAATATCTCAAAGTATGTTGTTCCCATTCTCAAAACACTGGCTATCAATGAATTCACAATACATGATACTTTCTCATTTGTAAAAACAATATTAGATATTCCCAATGCTGACAGTTATATAATGGCAAGTTTTGATGTTACCAATTTATTCACAAATGTCCCTCTTTCTGAAACAATTGGAATCATCACTGACTCTCTGTTCAACCACAACACTCACATAAAAGGCTTGAAGAAGTTACAATTTAAGAAATTGCTTGAAATTGCCACTAAAGATATAACATTCTTCTTTGATGGCAGATTATATAAACAGGTTGATGGAGTGGCTATGGGTAGCCCCTTAGGTCCAACACTTCCAAATATATTCATGTGTTTTCATAAAAAAAAGATGGCTCACAAACTGCCCCCCTGAATTTAAACCCTCGCATTATTATAGATATGTTGACGATACATTTCTTTTGTTAAAATCACAGCTTGAAGTTCAGAAATTCCTGCAATGTATGAACGGTCTACACAAGAATATCAAATTTATTTGTGAGTTAGAGTTCAGTGGTAAACTTCCTTTCTTGGATGTCAGTATAAGCAGAAATAACAATAGGTTCTCAACTGCAACATACAGGAAACCTACATACACAGGCCTCACCACAAAGATCGATTCCTTCATTCCTATAAACTTTAGACTTTATCACTGACACCCTAAGAAGGAATGTTTTTCCATTGTTTGTCATTCAGAGGTCCATCAGACAAACCTTAAATAATATTTTTGTAAAAAGAGAACCAGTACAACTTGCCACCAAAGATATAATCTGCATAAATCTTCCATACATAGGCCCCATAAGTTATACTATTAGAAGAAAATTGTTAAACCTTGTACACTTACACTATTCAACTGTAGATCTAAGGATACTTTTCACGTCCACAAACACCATTGGCCACTACTTCAAAGTAAAGGACAAGCTTCCCAACCTATTATGTTCATCTGTCGTCTATAAATTCACGTGCAGCAGCTGCAATGCTGCTTACATTGGAAAGATTTCTTGGAATCTTTTCATTCGTGCAGATGAACATAAAGGTGTTTCATACAGAACAGGGAGACCACTAGGGAAACCCCAATGGATTCCCCAGTGCGTGAACATTGTCAACAATATAACCATAGCTTGTCAAGACATGATTTCAAAATAATAGACTCATCATCCTTTGCTTCTGACCTCACCATATTAGAAAGTTTGTGGATATGGAAGGGGCGACCGAAGCTTATGAATATTTAGCCTCCACTGACACTGAATTGCTCCGCTCATAATTACAATAGTTGACCTTGTTTTAAACACTCTTACATTTTCTATACATCCCGATGTTCCAATAATATCACCATATGTAAACAGGAAATGACAGATGACAGGTTGTCATTTTCTGTATATTTTGCACTTTTTATATTAATTATTTCTCACGATAATATTATATTATTCAATTTAAGAATTATTATATTATTTCTAAACCATCATAGTTATATGCCGTGTTCTTTTTACAGCTAATCATTGATTATGGGTGACGAACTTTACACCCGAAACGTCTGAAAATAAAGATGCTGTTCCCGATAAGCCTGGTTTATCTGTTCCTTATACGCCTCCGCTTCCCGACTGGAAGTTCAATCACTACGATTATATATATATATATATATATATATATATATATATATATATATATATATATATATATATATATATATATATATATGTACATACATGTATGTATTTATGTTTATATGCATGTGTGCATAAGTAACAATTTGCCCTCATCCAACTCCTCCAATACAAACGTACATGCATACATGTTAGTTTGTGAGATGTGTACATATGTTCATTACCGACTGCTCACACTCATGGCGTCGACCTTATTATGCAGGTATGACCGGCATTATCAGTTTCACTGGTCATTTTCATTGCAATAATTATCATATTGCCTATCATTTACCTTCTTATCAAAACTTCTGTTTCATACCATACAATTATTATTAATGATACCCTTATCATTATTGCTATTGCCAATATTGTTATCATCACCATGATATCATTGTTATTGGCATTAAATAGTATATCATATTCAATATTGCTATAATTATCAGTGTTATTCTTATCATTATTACTGTTATTGTTGTTGATTTTATCGCCATTATCATAACCATCACTACTGATTATTATTAACAATATGTATTTCTTGATAAGTTACCACCATCTCCGTCGTAATACCTGCTACTTCGTTTTCGTTACGCCCCCTTTTCCAAATCTTTACCCTCCATTGACAGAGAAAAATTAACAACAGATAATATAAGCGAAAATGAATAAACCACGACAGTTTTCCTTGCCGTGACGCCTTTCTTGCCAGTGCCATGACCGCCCTTCCTCGCCAG